AAAAAGAATGGGCCAATGGGCTAGTATCATCACCTAACAAAAGTGTCTTGACCTTGATGGAATTAATGTTGAAAGATAAAGTTTATATTTTTATTTTTAATTCGATTTTTCATGAACTATTTTAAGTCCCCTCATGTGACTCACTCTAATAGATATTTAAAACTTTTGCATAATAAAAGTAAATTTTAAAAACCAATGCCCTAGACGACCCAGGCTTACGGACCACCAGTGGCAGACACAGCACATAAACAATATCTGTAATTCCACTGTCGTTCCTGTATTTGAGAAACTGCCTGCCATGGAGTCTTTCCACAGTAAAACCAGAATCCTTCTCAACATGCTGAGGCAGGCCGCTAGTACTAGTCAAATCAGAGGGGGCAGACTACATGAGCTTTACCTTTGCACAAAGGCAAATGAGCCAGAAGTTGTTCAATGTTTTCTGTTTCTTCACCAGTAATAGAAACCCTGATCTGTGGCTGAACATGAGGCCACATGCAGGTCTCCCTTGAAACCAGGTGTGACCCCAATACTGAGCACTAGTCAGTGGCATCTAAGAGAGAGAGGAGTATGCCACTTCTGGTCCCTTTCATTAAAGAAGGCAGTAGGCCATTCCTACATAACTTCCTCTCGTGAGTTGTGGACCTGAGAACTGGCATATTGGACCATGAGACAGTGATGAGGCTCACACACACACACACACACACACACACACACACACACACACGGGTCCGGTGGAGGCAGTGTCTGACCTCCTCTGATTTCACAAGCAGGGAGGAGAATCAAACTCCGCATCAGCCCCAGGCCGACTGCTGTGAGGCAGAGCGCTCTCGGTCTGCTCCTGCCCTTCTTGCCCTGCTGCTTCTCTGGTGCCAGGGTGCTCTGCTCTAGACTGCAGGAGTCCGGTGGCGGGATCCTGGGGTTCAGAAGTTACACTCCACTCCTGCTCTTGTTTCTTGGCGGTGGTGAGATCACCCATTCCCCTTCTGAGATGACTCATTTAATCTAGCAGGATGGCGAAACCGACCAGTCCGCATATGAGAACTCCAGACGTCTCATTTGCAGGGTCCCACCCCAAGGGTCCCATGTACTTTATTTATATGACCAGCCAGCTATCTGCTCCCACCGGAAGGCCACAAATACCTCATCTTCGCATCGTCTTAGCCAGTCATTTGGCAGGAATTACAAAGATAAAGGCTAGAAAAGCCATCGCTGCACTGTACCACCCCAGGGGACAGACGCTTGCTGAGACTGGAACCCACACACAGGAAGAGGAGCCTAACGCCACCAAGAAAGTGAGATTCTGGTGGCAAGATCTGATTCCTGAGGTAAGCCACATTTACAGCAAGCCATGTCCTTGGATTCTCACATAAATTAACCTATTAATGCCTTATTGGTCTAAGTCAAGTTATATCACTGTCCTGTAATTTACTAATGAAAGGATTCTGACTCCTATTAAAAAATAATAATTACCAGTTCCATAGATTACCATTCTATCGGTTAATATTGCTATCCTTATGAATCCTTGTGTCCCACCCACCCCCAATCCAGGAATTCCTTGAAGACCTGAGAAGCAAGAACTGTGTCTGCGTCCTCAGAGCTGGACACAGGTCCAGGTCACCATGCGTTTGCACAGTGTTGCAGCGCACAGGGTGAGTGTCCTCGGCCTGCGCTTTTCACGCTGACAGACGCAATGCTGCTCTGGGCAATGAACTGTCTCTCAGCTGCACAATGGAGTTGCTTTGCCAGAGTGAGCCTGACTCCACCAGTCCCTCCTGCCACACTGGTTACATGCATGCACACACACCTTTCACACAGCCGCTACCCGCTGCACTCCGCACATGCACACACAAACTAGCATCACCTAGGCCTCCGTCTGTGCACACACACCATCTGCTAGTACACCCTGACCCACAGACAGCCATGATTACATCACATGCCCTTGGTAAATACCTCCGAACGTGAACACTTGGGGAAAGAGCCCTGTAGGTGCAGCGGTTAAGCACTCAGCTGCTATGCCAGTCTTTGAAATGGAATCCATGCTAAGTTGGGGGCTACTTGTAGCCTACATGTGCACATGCATGCACACGCAGACACAAACACCCACCCTGTAGAACCTGATCGGACGCCCTTAGGCTCTCTGGTCAGGAGCAGCATCTCTAAGATCTATTCCTAGCCAGGGGGAACACCCCGCACTGCGTTGGGGTCCATGGTGGGAATGAGTGTGGGGCTCAGGGCCCTCCCACTCTCCCGGGGGTGCTGGAGACGACTCACCGTGTGGTAGCCGTGGGCGCCCGTCTGCAGAAGCAGCTGCTGCAGAGTGCCAATCATCTTGCGGCGCCGGCGACTCTCCTCTCTCACACCCTTGAGCTCTTCGGCCTGGCGGCCCAGCTCCCGCTGCCCATGCTCCTGCTGACCCAGGCTGGCCTGCAGCCGGGCCTCCAGCTGGGCAACACTGGCACTCAAGCAGTCCTGGCAGTGCAGCAGGTACTCGATGGTGAGCTGTGCCAGGCGCAGCACCTTGAGCAGCACCGGGTCCACAGGCTGCCCGCAGCGGCTGCATGTCTCCTTGTCCAGGTTGCAGAAGGTGACGCCAGCAATGTTCTCCTGCAGGGTGGCCACGTCCAGCTCCCGTGCCACACGATCCACATCCAGCGCGCTAATACGTCTCCAGTCCACACTCTCCCGGCGTGGCTGGAATTTGAAGCTGGGGAGTGTGTAGGCACCAAAGAGGGTGCTGCTGAAGCCCTCAACAGTGGCCACGGAGGACTGCATGGGCGGGGGAAGCCCAGGGCTGACCACCGAAGGAGGGTGCCACCAAGGCCACGGCAGCAAGCCAACGAGCTGAGCGAGGGCCTGGGAAATGAGAATGGAGTCCAGGTTCATCAAGGTGCACAAAGCTGCATACACTACACACCTGGACAGCAGGAGGCTGAGGTGAGGTGTCTTCCCAGTAGCTATATATTTGAAAACCCACCTCACGTTTGCCACTTCTGACTCATACAGGACTCTATAGGTTTCCAAGGCTTTACATATGTACAGGAGCAGATAGCCTCGTCTCTTTGCCATGCAGCAGCTGGGGGGCTTGAACTACCCACCTCGTGGTTAGCAGCTCTGGTACATGTGACATACACTAATGGGTGCCAAGCAGTGGATAGAAGGGTGTGGGCTTTATTATCACAGAGGTGGATTCAAATCCTCAGCTTTGGCTAAGACCCTTAACCATCTTGAAGCCTCCTGGGTAAATTAGGGGCCATTGAACCCATTTTGCAGGCTTTGGGTTAGGAAGGAGGCCTTTGAAGCACTCGGCCCACAGTAGCTCCTCAGTGAATCCCCTCTACTCCATACTCGCCTCCTGAGCTGTAGGGCTACCTGCCACCTGCCAGAGGTATCCTTTCAGGGTGGGGCTAGCTGTCAAATGTATGAATTTGCCTCCGCATAAAGTCCAACAACTTGGGGGTGGGGGTGGGGGCAGCGCAGAGCCACCAACTGTGCACCACACCTCGTCCTCTCCTCCTCCGATGATTCCAGGATCACTGACCTCATGAAAGGAAAGGCCTTCAGGCAGCGGTTCTCAACCTGTGGGTCCCAATCCCTCTGGGGGTCGAACGATCCTTTCACAGGGGTCGCCTGATTCATAACAGTAGCAAGATTACAGTGATGAAGTAGCAATGAAAATAATGTTATCGCTGGGGGATCACCACACCATGAGGAACTGTAGTAGGAAAGAAGGTTGAGAACCACTGCCTTAAGGAAGCAACAGGGTGGGGTGGGAATGAGGCCGGCCCTGCCTACCCCAGAGAACAGGACCAGGGGGAACCACTCAGTAATATGGTCACTGCACGAGGAGTTCTGGCCCCTGAGCTAGAAACAGATAGCAAATACAAACTGGCAGGTGAGTACCACTATTCCCATTTGCAAACAACAAAACTGATGTCTTGGGGAGGCTGGATTTCCAACAGGTAGGGGAGTCAGAACTCAGGGACAACTGCTCGTGTTTCAGGCTCCAGAGCTCCTGGACCTTGAACCACCCAATAGTAGCTCTGGAGGTTATCTGTTCCAAACTTTCTCGCCCCTCGAACATCCAATTCATTCATTCGCCAACCTTCCCGTCATTTACAGTCCACCTATGTGTGTCAGGCCCAGTGCCAGGCGCTGGAGTTACCAAGATCTAACATTAACTGCATTTCAAGGGCTCCGTGTAGCTAGCCCCTAGTTGCCCACACACCAAACTATAACCCTGGTCTTCAAGACCTCCAGCTGAATGTCACCCATCCGCCTTTCCAGTCTTACCTCCCTGTCTTTCCCTTTTCAGATATTCTGCCCCAACATGAACCTCCAGAAACAAAACTATGCAGCTGTTAATACCCCAACCAAGGCCATGAAGGGCAAGACCAGCACCCTTCTACTTAGCACGCAGGGTTAGGGAGAAAAAGAAAACCAAAATGGAGTAGCGACATGATACTCACTCACCATGCTCCGCTCTAAGCTACAACTGCGTCACCTGAGCCCCAGAGTCAATTGCTCACAACAAGCCATCCCTCAGAGCAACAGCAGGTTACCAGGCATGCTGTGGGCAAGGTAAGAGGATACCTGCTTCCTGACCTCCCACAGTGTGAGCTCACCTGAGAACGTTGCTGTTTCACTATTTAAGCTTTGACCTCAGATGTTTGCCCATAGCCCTCTCTCTACTAATAACGCTAGGGCGTCTCTATCAGCTAGCTCTCTCCTCTCCTCTCCTCCCACCTCTTTTAAGTTCCTTGCAGCCTCTGCCATCAGTTACAGTTGTCACCCCTTTAAGGTAGAGTGTGTTAGTGCCTACACCCCCGGTCCTGCCATAGTCTGCTGTTCACCTGTGACCTATTTCATAGGGGTGAGCTCACACATCCCCCGCTTCAGCTACCCATCATGTTGCTTCAGGTTGAGCCTCAATCTCTCCAAAATCTCTTTTCCTCTGGTCCATCTCTCTCTTGGGGCCGCTAGACCTAGCCCTCACATACTGATTACACCAGAAATCACAGGCTCAAACACGCTAATGTCATGAAGTGGGCCAGGTGTGGTAGGAGCCATAGCACAAACTTGGTGGCAGATGGCAAAGATTCCCCATCTTTGAGTTCAAGATAAAAACAACACAGTGATTCTCAGTATCAGTGTTACTGGAGAATTTATTTTAAATGCAGATCCTTAGGCCCCAACCCAAGCCAACTGATTCAAAACCACTGCGGTAGGGAGTGTGGAAACAAGGACCGTGGACCTGAGTATGTGTGTGTCCTCGTTTACAATAGGCAGCCACCGTTGTGCGTCAGCCATGTGGGGATGGATTTTAGGTGTTCCTTGTGGGCTAATTCTAACTTTCTTAAAAAGACTTCTGTGAGCCTGTGCCTCGGGCCCGGCACCTGGGCGATCTCTCCACCAGGCGCTCTGTAACAAGCAGGGCCAGTTTTCTACCAAACTAAGAAGTATGGAGGTGAAGTCCAGTGTGCTTGTGCTGACGGACATAAGATGGCAGAAGGTGCGAAGCTGAGGATCAGAAGATTGAGGGACTGTGGCTGCTAACTGGGGATCCAGAGCCACAGAGAAGTGAAGAAATTTGCCCATGGTCCAGAAAACTGGTGTCAAACCTAGAAGCTCCTAATGATGATGCTATGCTTCCTCTTGGTCTAGAGGACCATACCATGGAGACTGCCTGCTCCAAATGCACTTAGATGCATGCTTTACAGCTCCGCTCATGCATAATCGCCACCATAAACCTTTACAGACCCATAGTCAGAACTCCCTGCGCCTCTCCCCAGCTCCTAGCATACAAAGTGTATACACCTTTGGTGGCCCTAACCTGTGTTGATGGCTACGCAGCAACCTTCATTGAACCTTCTTGGCAACAAATGATTCCTGATTCCACACTATGTGCCAGGCATCATGAGGGCCACTCAGGATTGATGGCAACCAGAGGAATCCTTCCTGTTCTCATTCATAAACAGAGTAAATGTTTCTGGAATCCTGCTGTCGTCCACACACAGTTCTAGTACTTTACATGAATTAGCTCATTTACAAGAATGTCTTTCTAAGACTTACAACCCATTATACAGATGAAGAAGCTAAGAGGTGAACAAAAATTATTTTCTCACAATCACACAGCAAGGAAGTGACAGTGTCTGGCTCCACTGTTTACTCTCTAGGAGTAAAATTCAGAGATTGCCCCACAGAGACATGAGCTAGGACTGGGCATATAGGAACACCAAAGAGAGGCTCGTACCAGGATATGTCATTCTACCTGCCCCCCCTCCCCAAACCCCCACCAGGCCCCAGGCTGGGGCCTCCACAAGCTCAAGGCCCACAACACAGATTCCTGCCCAGCTGAGCAGAGTCTTAAAAGTCTTAAAGCAATCAACTTTAATTTTCCAATTCTGTTTGGGGTCTTGAAGAAATGAAACTATGGGCCACCAAGAATTCAGGTAAAGAGTAAAAATGGGGTTCAAAGTTAAAATTGAGCCCACTGCCAGTGAGTCAATTCTGGCTCATAATGGCCCAATAAAGTTTCTGGGACTATAAATCTTTATGGGTACTGACAGCCTGGTTTGTCTCCCATGGAACAGTTGGTGGGTTTGGACCCCTGACCTTGTGTTTGGCAGCCCAAGGCCTAATCCACAGCCCCGCCACCAGAGCTCTTTAAAATGGAGATCAAAAAATATTCCAATTTCAGTGTTACCAATGATCTATAGGACAGAGTAGAACTTCCCTTGTGTGTTTTAAAGACTGTAAATCTTCACGGGAGTAGACAGCATTATTTTTCTCCTGAGAAACAGCTGGTGGTTTCAAATTGTTGACCTTGAGGTTAGCAGCCCAATGCATGACCCACTACGTCACAAGGGCTTCTTAAAATGGGGCTTGGACTTCTTAATTTGGACTCATTGGGGGAGTGTGCTATTCAAACTCAGCAAAATGCTTGATTTGTCGACCATCTGCCAACATAGCTTAATCCAACTAGCTACTAATGAAGGTTGATCGTATCCGAGGCCTTGTCGATGGGCCCAAGCACATCAGTGGGAGGTGACTGAAAACGCTGAAGCCACAGCATTACATCCTCAAGCGGACACTCGGAGCGTGCTCTATAAACACAGAAGGTGGTGGCCCAGTCCCAATCAGGATTCTGTATTAGGAGTCGGAGGGCAGGAGATTTTACTGCACCCCTAAAATGGACGCCTGTCTTCCTCTAGAACCCGGATGTCCTAGGACTCCAAAAAGTGAGCCGAACCTGAAGACAGTGATCACAATAAGCATATTTGTACACCAGCTTTGAAATAAGCTCTAGGCCTCATACAGCCTCATACGTAGCTCCTATTCATCAGACCAATGAAGAAACTGAGGCTCGGGGAGCTAAGGAACTGTCCCAAATTAAGTAATGAAGCCACAATGCAAGTTCTGTCTCACTCCAAAGTGTCTGAACTATGCCAAACGACCTATCAATTATAATAATATACAAATTATTCCCCTGAAGGGAATTTTACAGTACCTGGGATTTCTTGACCAACCTGCAAGGGCAGAGTGTTCACAGCAAACCCCACCAGGGTTGGTGCTGGAGACACGAAATGCTCTCTGTTTCGTGCCCAGGCTTGGCTGAACAGGACTAGACGCCAAGGTGTTCGTCCTGCTTTAGAAGAGCCATCTCAAAGCCAAATGAGAGTGCTGCTGGTTACCTGGAAACCAACCCTCACCACCACCCCCGGGGCCAGGGACACAGGTTTCTTCAGATTCAATTGTCTGCAGAGGCTGTTCCCTTACCTGGGATGAGAAAAACAAGGCAGAAGCACTCG